TCAAACCGTGTGAGTACTCATTTCTCTCAAGATTTCAGGAGAAATGTCATATGTCAACGTGGAAACTGTATTTTGAAAACCAGTGACTACCTCATGACTACTCACTGACCTTTTCTCTCGGTTTATTTCGAGAGAATTCATATTCTCAGGAGAATTTGACCACGTGATTAGGGGCGTGGGTATCCTTCCTCCATGTGTGTAACCATAACCGATGTGTGTACAAGGCCAAGTCACATATTACCTTTCTCTCGATAGAGCACTCCTTTCTCTCAATAGAGCACTCCTTTCTCTCGAGTTTGAAAATAACCCCCCAGGTCACATGAGTATCTTAAGGTTAGTGACAGGAGACGTGCTAGACATGAGATCAGACCACATAACCAAGCGGTACTCTTTTAATACTCCATTTGAGGTTTTAATACAGAAAAGAGCGGAGATCGCCATAAGGGAGCCCAATGCCCAACGACAGGAACAAACCTGGTATACAGACGGGTCTAAGACTGCGGAAGGCACTGGGGCGGGAGTATTCTCCAAAAATCCTGAAACTAACTATAGCTATGCTATAGGAATACATTCCTCGGTATTTTAGGCCGAGGTACACGCAATTTTGCAATGTGCAAAAACTAACAATGAAAGAGCTGTCGAAAATCACCATATTTAGACAGCCAAGCGGCACTTAAGGCCATATCGAGTCAGAAAGTTACGTCGAGGCTGATATGGGAATGCATCGAAGAACTAAGAACACTGGCAGACCGAAATAGAGTAAAACTATTTTGGGTGCCATATCACCAAGAGATCGAAGGCAACGAAAAGACTGACGAACTTGCAAAAAGAGGGTCAGAAGAAACACCGGAATCAGACACAAACCCAGGAGTACCAAAAAGTACAGTCCGGGGTTTCATAAACGACTGGATTCGGGAACAACATATCAACTATTGGGGAAGTACCCCAATGGGGAACTCATGTGCCGACTATGTCACAAGAAACCAGAAACGGCCAAACACATACTGTGCGAATGGAAAGCTCTAGATCGCAAAAGATAGGCTCTTTTTGGACAACCCCAGGTTGATCCAACAACGTATAGAACCCACTCACCCAAGGATCTGTACAAACTTGTACAAGGTACAAAGGTGACAGAGCGGGTGCTATGAATATGGGGTAAAACACAATAAGCCAATAGGCTTCAGTGTTATTCGGAGACATAATCAGACGAGCCCAGGAGGAAAAAAAAACTTCACATGTACTTCCGAAGAACGTCTAACCGATTTCGCGTTCTAGCCATTCCTATAAAATTCGAATTTTGAAAAACAAGGGGGGATGTAACGAAGTTCCATTCGAACGTTAACTTATTTCCTATATAACCATACAAAAAAATATCCAAAAATTAAAAGAGTGGGGGATGGGGGAGGAGCGCTGGATAGGGAAAATTTTTATACATCCCAAGAGTAGGCACTATACAGAGCTCGAATTTTGAATTTTTTTTTACCCCTATTAAAAAAGTGGTGGATAAGGGGTGGCAACACTTTTATTTTATTTTTGGGACCATCTATACAGCCATGTATATTAATATGCAATACAGAAATTTTCTTACGGGGGGGATGAGGATACCAAAATTTTTTTTTCGATTTCTACGTTTTTTTAAATCATCTTTAAAAAAGGGGAGGGGGGAAGGAGACATCAATTTTTCTTATATTTTTTTTCTCTGTCCATCCATATACTTATTTTCACGATTGGTTCAATAAAAAACCCAGCTCATGTTCCCTATACGTGTAGGGCGACGATGGGGGTAATTTTTGTTTTAATAATTTTTAGTTCTACAGCCAGCTAGATTACTTATGTTCGCTTTATCACATTTTGCTGGAAAGGGACGCCAGATTAGTCTCTTAGATCAGACATGCAAGGAAGAACTGCAATGGGACAAAAGAAATACGACTACATTATAATATACCTAATTATATATCTTGTGGTATAAAATATTAAGTAAAGTCAATGTTGTAACATAATATTTTGCAAATTATGAATTTTAATATTTCCTATGCTTACAAAAGTTTGGATGAACTAAACCTGTCAAATTCAAAGTAAGCTTGCTTGTGGATTTTTCGTTTTTTTGCTGGCATTAAAATAATATGCTTCTAGACGTTTATAACAATAAAAAAATCTCTGGGCAAGCATTTTTGTCGTCCAGTTTTGCTACTTTAGGTGTAAGTGTAGGGATTTCCCTACATCGGTTGAGGAACTTATTAGAGGACTAATATTATTCACGGTGGGGTATTGTCAAAGTAGCCGGAGAGACTAGCCGCGAGATTAGTGTGCATCCACATACTCGCAACAGTTAAGCAATTATATCTCCGGCCACGTCGTGGATGGGTGACCACTGGCCCAGATAGCACACGACGTCTGAAAGACGTCTTTTTTGTGTCTTGGTTTGGTCTCAATGTCCTAGGACGTTATTAAGACGTCTTATAAGACGTCTGTCAAAAGTCATAATTCAGACGTATTAATGTGAGAGCTCAAAGACGTTTTTAAGACGTCTTAAAGACGTCTTTCCAAATCCATATATTAATGTGAAAGCTCAAAGACGTCTTTAAGACGTCTTACAAACGTCTTTCAGTCGGACGGAAACTTGCACGGTTTACATAATTCAAATTTAAAAGAAGAATCAAATGAAGTGAAGTTTGACTTAACACTACCTTCAAGCCCAAGCTTATTAGGCATTCCAACGACCTGTCAAACAATACCTGCCAGTGGGAAGGTCTCGTATATCTAAGGGGGTAGCGACATAGTCTTGCATCTTGGACGCTATTTTTATTCGAAATATCAGTCGCCAATCCTGCCAGTTTTTAAAAAAATGTACAAGCAATTTTTTTAATTAATATTTTTATATTGTTCGATATAAAATATTTAAATGTAATCCACTATTCATGATTTTACGTATTGTAGATAGAATACATCGTATGTCGCAACCGTCAGATATACCAAACCTGCCCACTGGCAATTCATTTGTTTGGAATGCCTAATTGTGAATTATTCAGGCGTACGCGATTATAGCCGCCAAAAGTGTGTTTGGGCTAGTGCATTTGTGTTTGGTCTCTTTTTACTTAAATAATATGGGACTAAAACCAGAGAAGGAAGAATAGTGGAGTTTCTGTTACCGATGTATCACGTTCCTGGAATACTTTCTACAGGTAATAAATGAATATTTGTTTATATACATAAACATTAATATCCTGTTTCTTTTAAATAAGAAGAATTAAATGAATTAAAAAGTAAACATCTTAATATAATATTTAATTCGCAGTTATTCGTCAATTTCCTTTCTTTTAATTTTATGGAGATTTCGAGAACTATTGATATCAAAAGCCACATGTTAGATAGCCATTTTGAGTTAAGCTAAAGAAAATTGTCAAAATAGGCGATTAAGTATAATAGCTCATCTTGTCTTAAATGATTTGTTAAAATTGTAAGAAATTAATTTTTTGTTTTGTTTCATAATTATTCTTTCGGTTTTTACTAACTTTTACAAAGTAGGTATAACTTCCTGTGACTATAATGCTCTTACCTAAATTTCTTTTTAGGAGCAACTATACAAAGGCAACTTCATATCAAAAAGAAAGAAAAAAATCAATTCAGTTATGGCTAAAGAGGAGTGATCGAATGCGCTACAAAGAAAATAACTCTTTTATTGACCTGTGATTAATAGATATTTTATCAATAAATATTTTTAATTCTATTTTTTGTATTCTTTATAACCTGCAAGGTTATTCTACTAAGGGCCGATTCCACCGTTGTGTCAAACGGAGATTAAAATGACATTGTTAATGTAAAAATGTCATTTTAAACTTCGTTTAACACAACGGTGGAATCGGTCCTAATTTTAATAACCAAGATGCACGATGATACCCATTTTTAAATTATTTTATATTATTATAAACAGGTTATAGAATTAGCAGAATAAAAATAATGAACGTGTTATTTATGGCTTATTTAAGTTTAATCAGACCATTATAAGCCATTAATAAAACATCTTAAAAATATATAATTTATGGCTTCACAAGACCATTATAAGCTATTAATAAGTCGTCTTAAAGACGTCTTATTTATGGCTTATTTAAAGCTTCACAAGACCAATATAAGCCATTAATAAGACGTCGCTTTTTGTAACATCAGACGACTTCTAAGACGTCTTTCAGGAAATACCAGACGTCTTAAAGACGTCTCGAATGTCTTATGCTAGACGTCTTTAAGACGACTTTGTGCTATCTGGGGGGAAGTTCCTGCGTGGGCTGTGCCACCATGGGACTAGCGTTTAACTATCGACGAGTTGGAATGAATGAGGGAGTAAATGAGGAATGGGAAAGTATAGTAGGGACCTTCAAATGGTGGTACAATAAGCCGCAGATTGCAGTGCTGCCATCAGGCTATAGACAGATTAGGGTGATAGCACATAAGGGATCCAAAGGGTGTAAAAACAAAAAAAAAGTACAATACAGAAATAAATGTAATTTTCACAGGGTAGTTTTAATGATATTTTATTATGTTCGTATGTACCAGTTATAATAAAAGGACTGTATTTGTAAAAGGTTACTTTTAATACGCTTCTCATACAATGACATTTTTACATAGAACTATTTCTATGCATTTTTAAGATTGAAACTAAATGTCAAAAAACCTAGTTTTAAAGGAATTTTAGAAAAAATATATTTTTTAGAAAAATACAATATATTTTCAATTGAAACTTTTGAGAACGTCAAATGGTAAAAAAATACTTTTGGTGCAATTTTAACAGGATTTATAGAAGAGTCAATTTTTCAATTATTAGAGTAAAAGTAGGATTACCTAAAAAAATTTCATTCGACTGAAATGCTAACCATAGAAATGCTAACTCCGCTTCTGTATTATATTTGTCACAAAAGAAGAATCCATCCATAAAGATCGTGTACGATCGACTATTTTCGGCTAGTAGTTCAAATGGCCCAGCACAGCAACGTCACAACCAGCCAATTCACAGACCACAGACCAATGCCAATCCATTTCCATTATGGTCTATGATTAGGTACTCGTTTTATTTTTCTTCACATCAAACAAATCAGCTGTGATCTGCCATTGGCAAGGGCATCAACAAAAAGGTTAATTTATCATTTAAACAACGTCAATGTGATGTGACACGTAAATTTTTCTCAAATTTTGGTGATAAGAAAATTCTCAAAAACTTTTCAAAATGTTCTAACAGACTCTTTATAGTGTGGATGTGGATTCAAATAGCCAAACAAGACCCTCGTTGTGGTTTTATTTTGATTTGAAGCAGAATAAAAGTAAGTGTGGATATTTATTTTGATTTAATTAAAATTTTAAGCTTTGTTTTTTGTGTGTTTGAACTTCTATTTTGGGACAAATAGTGGGACCTTAACCTCACTTCTTATATTTGGATTAAAAAAATTGCATTGTAATTTGCAATTTTCGTATTAATTAATAAAATAAACAGATATACCTAGGTTAGAACCACTTAATAAACTGCAAAGCTACTTCAATTTTCAAGTGGCAACACATAGATCTGTTTGATAAAATTGTTTTATTATTATATAAAACACAAATAATGATAATCAACTATTTTTTATTTTTGTTAAAAACAACAAGAGATGCCAATAAGAACAATAATATAATAATCTATTTCGTTTTCTAATACTATAAACTGCTATTCATGTGAATGTTATCAAGTTCATCAAATAATGTTATTTCAAAATATTTTTGTTCTGCTTTGGTAATTTGTTGGTATGCAACATTCGATTAAATCATTAATATTGCTTCTCGAATAATCATGGTAATTTTCCGAGAAATTAAAAAAGTTAATGATTTATCTAATATATAAATAGTGCTAAATGTTTATTTTTTAAGGCAGGTCAGTATATATTTTAATCATCATAACTTTAACTGTCCTTTTTATATTTTCTACAACTTAAATATTGATGAGATTTTAATTTAAATAGCCTATTTTTTTTAATGCTAGAATGGACAAAATTGCAAGCAATTTGAAATACCCAATTGTGCTGAACACAAAAATACTTTTGTAAAATTACACAGTGATGTCCATTTATAATGTTTTAATTTAAATTATCTGATTTGGCTGAGAAAGTAGTTGTCTATGAGGTATTCTATATGATTACTATATAGAACAGATTCACTAGGAAACAAGAGTGGATACAATAATATTATACTTGTAACTCCAATAAAATTAAGTTTTCTGTTGAAAATATTAGATTTTTCAATGTGTCAATGCGATTTCATGCTGAACAATACAGAAAGATTAAAACCACATTGCAAAACCAAAATGATAATGCCAACCTGGACTATCTCTTTCAGAATGTGCTATGTAGTCCTAATTTTAGTTGCATATTTCATCAATTTATTATTCTACAGCTTCATTTGTTATATAATCTAGGCATTATCCAGTTTCTATAAAAAATTCCTAAGTCAATTCGAAAAATATAAAATTTAGTCATAGATAAGGCGAGATCACAAAATAACTATAAAAGTGTTTTAATTCTATTTACTTTTTACCCTTTATCTATATTGTTATAATTTAAGTATTTTTTGCCCCTTTTATATACAATTTTATTTAATTTTTACACTACTTTTGTTGTCAGTTCTTCTTGTTCTGCTAATTTGTTAGTTTCATATTTTTTAATACTTGATGGGTAAGTTTATTAGAAAAATTGTGTACACAGGAATTCCGATTTCAGGAATTCAGTACTATCTAAAGAATTATATGACTTCTGAAACAGTTTTGAAAAATGTTCTGAATAAGAAAAATGGAAATTCGCCTTCTATTCTAAATTTGAAATGTTGAACAAACATTACAAAACATAATTTATACAGGGATATAACAATGCAATATAAACGATAAGTTACTTCAAGTTCAATGAACTACATAATTAGTATAAAATAAAGTTACTTTATTACAGTGTAATTATATTTGAAATTATATTTGTACATATCTAACATAATGGTATAAGGCTTCAAGTAAAAGAAATGTATAGGCTGTTTCACGTTACAATTATTTATATTATCTTTTAAAGAAAACTATAGTAGCTATGAAAAAACTTTTGGCCAAAAATCATTCATATTTAAACATCCATTCAATTTATAAAACAAGTTATATGACTTTCATAATCTTGTATTATTGTGACGAAAGTCTAATTTATTTAAAAACACACTATTTACAATTTATTTCAGACGTACTATTTAATTTATATAATATTTGAACACTAACTAACAATTCTAATTTATTTCTTACACTTTTACTTTTCAATACAACGTTCTATATTAAACTAAACTCGGCGCTGATACGTCGTCTATTTATATTAGTCTAACTCCGCTACTGGAAAATGCTAGAGACTTCGCGAAGATGACTAAACGGCACTCCCCCGCCATTCCAGATGTTTCGAGTGAATCGGCGACAGACATTCGAGAGCGGTCCGGCTGTTTCCACACGTCAGCGTTGCTTGTGTCACGAGTTGATTGCGTGCGTATACAGGGTCGGCTTAGGAATTCATGACATTATTTATTTATTACAAATTTGTATAAAGCTCTCAAAGACAAGTTCATAGATATGTAACGGTATAGATACAGTGTCAAACGTTTCGGACATTATAATAATCTCCTGTAAAAAATGTCCTAGTTTGAAAACTTTTAGATGGTACACATTTTTTTATTTCTTTCATCTGATGATGTTAGATTTGAAAATCTGTCAATAGCAGAACGGTTTGGTATTTTTCAGTTATTGTTTTCACACAGGGTTCCACACTCTGCTGGTTGTTTGATTTGCAGGGTTCTATTCCTTAGAATTTGGTAAATCTAAATTTTCTAAATGTTCTCAGATAGTTTTATCTTGAGTTTCGTTATTTTATGAGATAATTCTGTGACTTCTGAAGGAATTCTGAGACTTCTGGCCAGATGTGTATACAGAATTTCATATAAATTTAACCGACTTTACCCCTCCTTAATACTTGAATCTATTTAATTTTATAAATAATTATTGTCGAAATTTTATTCAAATTAACCGTTTTTTGTTCTCACCTCGTTTGGAATAAAATATAATATTTTAATTTAATTTGTTTATGATTTGAAATTGTTATAAACATATGTAAAAAAAAATATTTTTATGTAGATTTGTTTTTTTTTTGACCAAATATCTTTGGATATCATTTTGTGATAGATTATCTGTTAATTCCTTCCATTAAAACTGCTAATCTTTAAATAAAATTTTATATTATTTAAAGAAAACATAAATTAAACCCTTATCATCTTTTTATTATTTCACATAAAGGTAGAGTTTGCTGCTTAAATATGAAATAATCAAACGGTCATCTCCATAACCCCACACAATATATAATTTCTGTACTATTTTATGTTTCTTTTTTTTATAAAATTTGAATTAAAGGAGAATTTTAAGATAAAAAAATATACATTTATAATAAAATATATTCCAAACAAATTTATGGCCGTTCGAGGAGTCTTTGGATCTGTTGACTGCAATCTTATACTGGTTTTTGTTTCCAACTTTTAGAAATCATATTCGAGTTGGATGACAATCGAAAGATCCACGGTAATGCCAATTTTTTGAGTAAAACTACTTGTAAATGAAATTTTTTAACAATCATGCTTTTTTTATTTTACATTTGACTACAATAGCAATTATTGCAGAATCCTCAAAATGCCTCCAAATGTATACCATCGAAATGTATTAAACTTTAGAATCTCAAATAAATTGAAGAATTGAGAAAATATAGTCCCATACTTTATTAAATTGAGAACTTACACATATTTAAAAGTTTATATTAGGTTATAAAAGCATTACTTGTTTTTTTATATAAATTGATTTGATAAATGGTGAAAGCTTGGTTCGCTATATTCTTTTTCCTGCGAGATACACTATATTGACTAAACTCTTTTACGAAAACACATACAGCGTGCGCCACGATCAAAGGGACGGAGCCTGGAGAGTAAACTTACTAACGATATTAAAAATTCCTTCAGCACAAATATACAAGTCAATGGGCGGTTACAATTTAAAATTAGTTTTAACACTTATATTGCAACTTAACGTCTACCGACATAATTCGCGCTATTTATACAAAAATAAAACACTCTCGAAAGAACCAACTCTGACTAGAATCTCATTCTAGAAGTTTTGAAAATTATCCTCCACGCGGCAGATTGCGATAGAAAACATTCGAGTCGGTTTCTCGAGTCTCGATATGGCTAGCGCTAGACTTCATGTCACTGGTACGGTAGTAAACAAAGAACAGAGACGGCTTCAGGCGATCTTCCGATATTACATATTGTAACTTTTTATCAGAATCATTAAAATATTAAAAAAAATTAAGGGGGTGCAATTTGAAGTTTTATTACAGTAAAATATTTTCTTTAATTACTGCATTAATTTAAATGGAACTCCCTGTACTTAATGGTGTACCAATATGAAGGAAATTTAAAAGTTCTTTTAAGTTCTCTTTACCTATGCTATATCTACTATTTTCAGACTCATTATCAATATTTTCAATGTATCAATAAATTTTAAACATATCGAAAGTTTGAAATAAATTAAAAATTTGCAATTATTTTTCTATATAATGCATAATATTATTATAAAATATTTTTTAAATGTTCATTTACATTGTTTAAAATCTCCAAACAGTCCTCAAAGGTATTATGAATACTCATTTTCATATCCTCAGCAGTTTTTGCTAGAAATTAGAAAATTCATTTATGATGAAGAGTAAGTTTTCGTAGTTGATAAGTTTATTTTTTCTACACTCACATGAATATTACCCATTCTACGTATATACTACAGAACGAAAAAGTAAGTAATTTTAGACGATATTTCTTTGGATATTAGACCAAAAATGTGGCTGTAGCAAGATGGTGCTCCAGTTCATTTTCGCATAGTGTCAGGACATATTTAAACCCACATATTCCTGAAATATGGAAAGGAAGGAGAGGTCCTAGAGTATCGAACTCAGCTGGCCTCCGCCGAAGATATAAAAACACAAAACACACATTCTTGAAACTTTTGGCGTTATTAATTTAGAAATTTTAAGTATTGTAAAAAACAATTTTGGAAACGTATATTTATTTAATGGCTCAGAAAATGCTGAACTAGCAGGTACACTTCTTAATAAAAATGAAATTAACGAAAACACATTTAGAGTAATTTCAAATCATTTTAAAACAACTTCCCATTTTTAAATTTTGTTCAATAATGGGCATTTGTTTGTATCTTTTCACTATGTAAAATTGTAAGATGAAGAAAGTT